TTGATGCCCTTTTCCAATTCCATGGTCAATCACTCACGAGCACCAGGTTGGAGAGCTGGTATGTTCCTAGGCAGAGCCCCTGGGGCACCCATCTCCACACTTGCCGTGATCACATGATCCCTTCACTGGCTCCAGGCCAGATCATACCACATTGCTTCCACATGTCACTGTCCACTCACAAACCTACCAGGAGCCGTTGAATACACTCGGCCCCCCATGTCTGCATCCCTGGATTCAACCAACTGCAGAAGGAAAGTACTCAGAAAAAAACTGCATTGTACTGAACCTTTTTTTGGTCATTATTCTATAAACATGGCATTTACATCATATTAGGTATTATAAGTTGTTCAGAGATGATTTACAATATGCAGAAAAGTGTGCAGAGGTTTTATGCAAATACTGTCATTTTAGGAGAGACTTGAACATTCGAGTACCCTGAGGGGGGGTGCTGGAACCCATTCCCTGGATACCAAGGGACGACTGTGTCTGGTCCTAGAGCTTTGCCAAGCTGGCAAAGCTGACCCCTCAACTACCTTTCCTTGCTACCCTGTCCCCACTGCCTGGGGCTCCGACTCAGCCTCTAACCCAGCCCTGAAGTCCCAGCCCATGGCAGCCTTCCTGCTGAAAAATTCCTCAAGTACTATATGCTACTACACTTTCACTATAACTTTGAACTTTTTAATCAGATTTCAAGTTTATAGTGGCTTGCCAATGAGTTTATAAACTCTATGGAGCACAATCAATATTTTGTACAGTAATTGCATATCAACCAGGTTTTGAGAAATCTCTGTGTGTGTATATCTTTTTATTTTGAAATAATTATAGACTCACAGGAAGTTGTGAAAAAACAGTACTAAGTGTTCTTTGTACCCTTCCCCCAGCTTCTTCCACTGTTGTAACAGTAGTACAATATCAAAACCAGGAAAGTCACATTAGTACACTGTTAACTATGGCCCTTACTCAGTTGTCACTGTTTAAACTTGCAGAGAGAGAGAGAGAGAGAGACCCCCTATGCAGTTTCAGCCATGTGCAGATTCATGTACTCACCACCACAATCAAGATGCAGAACTCTTCCCTCACCTCAAAATTGAGAACCCTCTGCGCTCTTTGTATCTGCATCATCAGCCGTGCCCCTGCCCCTGCGCAACCCCTAACCTGTCCTCCACCTCTGTAGTTTCTATGTCATGGAACTTATGGAAATGGGATCACACAGTATGTAACTTTCGGGGGCTTTTTCCACCAAGCATACTGCTGTTTAAATTGCCTATAGTTACAGGTGACTAGTGTTACTGTTAAGTAGTACTTCATCATGGATGTACCTGAGTTTGTGTAACCACTCACTTGTGGAAAGACATTTAGGCTGTTTTTAATGTTTTGATATTATGAATAATGCTACTATGATAATTTGTGTTTAGGATCTTTTTTTTTTAAAAAAGTTCCATTTATTTAAATTGTGGTGAAATCTGCATAACAAAGTTTACCATCATTTCTTTCTTTCTTTTTTTTTGATGGTATTGGGGATTGAGCGATTGAATCCAGGGGCACTTTGCCACTGAGCTCCATCCCCAGCTCTTTTCATTATCCATTTTGATACAGGGTCTCAACAAGTTGCGAAGGCTGGCCTTAAACTTCAGATCTTCCTACCTCAGCCTCTCACCATCTCACCATTTTTTAAAAATACTGTTTTAGTTGTAGTTGGACACAATACCTTTATTTTATTTATTTTTATGTGGTGTTGAGGATCGAACCCAGCATCTTGCATGTGCTAGGTGAGCGCTCTACCCCTGAGCCACAACCCCAGCCCCCATCTTAACCATTTTCAAGTATACAGTTCAGCAGCATTAAGTACATCCACACTTTTGTATAGCCATCAACACCATCCATCTCCAGTTGCAAAACTGAAATTCTGTATCCACCAAACAACAGCTCTCCATTCTTCCCCAGTGTCTGATAACAAATGATTTACTTTCTACAAATCTGACACTCTAGAGACCTCTCATGAGTGGAATCATACACTATTTATTCTTGAGGTTCATCCATGTTGTAGCACATGTCAGAATCTCCTTCCTTGTTAGGGCTGAGTTATATTCTACTGGGTGCATATACCTCATATTACCTTTCCATTCATCCATGGATGGACACGTGGCTCACTTCCACCTTGATTACTGTAAACAATGCTGCTACCTTGAATGTGTTCATGTCCTTGATTTAAAGTTTTGGGTGTCTAATCAATGGAATTGCTGGATATGCTGATTATATTTTTGATTTTTTTTTGAGGAGTTGCTATCCTGTTTTCCATAGCAGCTACTTGTATACAACAGGTTTTATGTGAACATGGTTTTTATTTCTCCAGGTGAATGCCTAAGACTACAATGAGAAGGTGGGTGGTAAATGTGTTTAGTTTTGTAAGAAACTGCCAAATTACTTTCCATTTTATATTATCACACACTGTAACATATAAGAGATCCAGTTTCTCCACATCCTCACCAAAATTTGGTATTGTCATTTTTTATTTTAGCTGTTCTAATAAATGTGCAGAAAAGAATTCATTATGTTTTAAATGTGTATTTCACAAGTGGTTAATCTGGTACCTATATCTCCTGTTCTGCAATATATACCCATGCCTTCTGCCTTGTTTATGACTGGATTTAAAAACAAAACAAAACAAAACATGCATTCATCTAGAAACAGGGAACAGCTATGATCCTACTCCAGCCTGACCACATAGACTTTTAGTACTAGAATGGTCAGCTATGGTTGATTTTGTTCAAAAGAAGTCATATTCCTGAATTTTTAATGTGAAATTAATGGGTAGTTAAAAAATTTAAGACACAGGAGGATGAAGTGTGAGAAAAGGGTGTGTGAATGGTGAGCCTGGGAAAGGAAAAAGGTCTCTTTAATTTTAAGCAGAATGTATTGAATTTCCCACCCTTGGCTTTTGCCAGTTAAGCCATGCAAAAGACAAGGATTGAGATTGAGGATTAAGCCAGATGTCATATGTCACTCCAAACTAGTGAGAGTGCAAACGTGTGACACTCTGGTGATGAGGAACAAGAACTGGGCTGGAAATCAGGGAATACTGCTTGGTTCTTCACCTGCTGTTTCCTTCGTCCTGTCTCTCTCAGCCCTAACCTGTAAGATTCAGGGCTGCACTCATTCAGTAAGTTCCAAACTCCAGGAGAAGTACTGACCTTCCTCTAACAGGATGGAATTCTGGCTGCCAACAGCCTTCAGGCTTGAACTGCAGAGCTGGCTGGCTTTGCAGCCAGCTCCTGCTGGCCTACCCTGCAGATTTTAGACTTCCCAGCCCACAGTGAGCCAAGTCCTAAAATAGATCCCTTTAAATATACACACCCTTTTGGTTCTGTCTGGAGGACCCTGACTATGGAACTCTGGTTGAGCAGAATCAGAGGTCTCTGGGCTATTTATTTAAGCATTTAAGAAAGTCTAAGAACCTCTATGTGTCATATCCAGTTACCAGGGATAACTCTATACATGTTAACTAAATGTTAGGTCTATTTTCTCCTGCCATTCATAGTTTTTATTGTGGTTCAGCTATGTTACTGGCTAATCATTTCACTTAACCCGGGAGGCAGCCTGCCTCAGTGGTTAAGAGCATGTACTGTGAAAAACCAGAATTTATGCACTGCCTTTATTAGCTGGTAACTTTGAGCAGATCACTTATTCTGAGTATCTGTGCTTCTCCAAAGAAATTGGGGATGACTGGGCTCGGGTTGTAGCTCAGTGGTAGAGCATTTGCCTAGCAAATGTGAGGCCCTGGGTTCAATTCTGGGCATAACATATAAATGAGTAAAATAAAAATAAAGCTTCATAAACATCTAAGAATATATTTTTTTAAAAATTGGGGATGACAACTACCTCAGAAAAGAGTGGTATGACTTTGCTGACATTAAACTTTTAGAAAAATTATATAAAGCCACTTGCCATGGTGTAACTGGAGCTATAATTAGCAACACGTCTTCTAAAATCTGTTTTGAGGAAGGAAAACAAAATAAATGGGAGGTGTTGGATATTCGCAATGGTGAAATATACCAAACTTAACAGGTGATTTCCAAGGAATCTGCAGAACGTTTTGAAACTGACTTTAACCTTCACCTTCCCCAACACCAGCTCAAAGCTCCTCCCCTTAATCCTTAACCAAGCATTAAGTCCTGCTTGCCCCGCCCCTGGAAGGGTCCAATCACGGATCAGGATCCCGCACGCAGCCCGGCTCCAAGCCGGGCGACCCAAGAGCCGCCTCCCCCCACTCCCAATTCCCTAGCTGCTCAGGGCCTGCCTCCAGATTTGCCTCCGCTTCTGGCCACGCCCCATCTGGTTCAGGATCTGTCCTTAACTATAGCCCAGCCAACCCCGGATGAGGGCTCATCCATCAGCCCCGCCCCCGAACCGAGCCCCGCCCCTGCCTCGCTCAGGGTTCGCCCCGCCCCGCCCAGCGCGGCTCAGGCCCGCCTCCACTCTTAGCCCCGTTGGGCTAGCTCAGGGCAGCTGCGCCAGCAGCCTGGGCTCACCTGGATCTCCTGACAGGCTAGCGCCGCCCGCCGGCCCTCCGCCTGCTTCTCCTCTATGAGGCCCAACCCCAGCCCGAAGGCCAGAAAGACGGCTCGGCCATAAGGGCCCGCGCCTCCCCGGGCCCGCACCACGAACTGCCGCTGGAGCCGCGCCGCCAGCCCGACCACCGACTGGCGGAAAAAGCGGTAGCGGTCTGGGAGTCCGAGCCCGCGCGGCTCTGCGCCGGGTCCTGCGGCCCGGCCCCGGCGCTCTCCGCGGCCCCAGCCGGCTGCCGGGCCGGGCCTTCCCCAGCTGCAAGCTGGGCCAGGCTTGGCTGTGAAGCGCAGCAGCAGCGACCGACCCAGCTGCAGGCCCCGGCCCAGCGCCTGTCGCACCGCCATGGTGGCGCCGCAACCCGGTCCCGCTGCCACCACCACAAGCGTCCGGGACACGGATGACAACAAACTTCGGGGGCGGTGTCTCTGCGCAGGCGCGGGCGTCAGTGGGCGGGGCGGGGCCACGGCGGTTCCTCTCCCCGGCTCACGAGGGCGCTGTGTGCGCACCTGAGCGGCGTGTAGCCTCCTGTTGCTTTGCACTTTGCACCCGGGTGGAAGGGTTGCAAGCTCAGCCAGTTTTAGATGTAAGCATCACTGGTTCTGGGCCAAATCGAGAAATTGAAATAGAGAACAAATATTTATCAACCACCATGCCAGACCTTTTGTATATTTTAATTTTTTATAGGCAAGTGACAAAAGGGGCCGTGTTCCAGAGCACGTGCAGGTATTAGAACAGAAGTTAAAGTTGCCTTAACTGTTGAGTCCTTGCCTTCCCCATTTCTTTTAGGCTTCTTTACAGGTCTGCGGCCCCTGGGCTTTTTGAGACCCCAAGTGAAATCTCCCTCAAAGGTTTTCTCTTATCTGCATGAGCGAGCTTTGGGACGTGGAGGGGCTTGCCTAAATGCCTGTTACCCCAAACCGCTGTTTGGAATGGCTGATAAGCATATTCATTACTGAATGGCTTATTTTTTTCTTGTCCTTTTTTAAAAAATGGAATTTTCAGTTATACACAAAAATAGGATCATATTTTGGAACCCCACTACCCATCATCCAGCTTAACAGTTACCAATAGCTATTATTTTTCTTCACTTAAACCTTCCTATCCCCTGCCCCATTATTTTAAGGCAGACATCTGATTAATTCATTTGTTATACTTCAGTGTCTATTTATTTTTTTGAATTATTTTTATTAGTTTTTGATGAACTGTTTTATTTATTTGTTTGTATGTGATGCTGAGAATTGAAACCAGTGCCTCACACATGCTAGGTAAGTGCTCTACCGCTAAGCCACAATCCCAGCCCTCAGTGTCTAAGAGAGAACTTTAAAAAAAAAATAAAAATAAACAATTACCTCTTAAAAATACATTAACTCCATAATAACATTCAATACCTACTGAATATTTACAGATTTCCTCATTATTTTGTATTAGTTATTCAAATTGGGATCCAAAGTCTAGATGGTTTATTTGTTTGGTGGATTTTAAAAAAAATTTTTTTTAGTTGTTGATAGACCTTTATTTTATTTATTTATGTGTGGTGCTGAGAACTGAACCCTATACCTCACACATGCCAGGCAAGTGTGCCACCACTGAGCCACAGCCACAGCCCTTGGTGGGTTATTTTTTAACCAGGTACCAAGTCACCCCTGAGCCAAGAGGTATATTTTATGGCACTGCATTTTTCAAACGTCCCTGCAGTCTTAGATACCTGTGTTCCTTACCTGAAAGCTGATCATGAATGAAGGACCCTAAAGACAAAAAACCTTTTTGTAGGTGTGGCCATGTGTCTGTGTGTGATTGGGGGAACTTCAGGGCCAGGAGACATTTACCTGATCAGAGACTCACTGCCAGCATTGCTTGATGATAAAGGCACAGGTTACCCCTTTTATTTCAGGGTTATTTTCAGACTTGAGTAAGGATGGGAAGCTTGAGTAGAAGTCAGGCCACTGCAAAAGGATCTACCTTAGAAATGATGGGTTTAAACATACATAAGTAAATATATGAGATATGAAAATGTAGATATACAAATGGAAACCCAGTGATTTTCCTCCTCCTTTATGGACTCACAGAAATGCATACATATGTTCCCCAAGAATGTTCAGAGCAACATTGTTCAGCATTGTATAATAGCCCAAATGCCCATCTATAGTAGACTGGGTAAATTGTGGTATATTTCCTTAATAGAGTACTAAGCAGCCATCATTATATTCAACAACAGGGATGTATTTTGTAAATATACTGGTGAGTTATAGGCAGACCCAAAAAAGTAGACACTGTGATCCCACTATGTAAAGTTGAAACTGATCTATAGTGTTAGGGGTCAGGACAGTGGGTGCCTTGGAGGGTAGTTTCTCAAAGGAATGGAAAGAGATTTTTGAATGCTGGTGATGTTTTCTTTCTAGATCTGTGAATGTTCACATGACGAAAGTTCACTCACTGTACACCATGATTTCTGCAATTTTCCATGTGTAATATTTTTTTTTTCTTTTTATCTTGGTGCTGAGGATTGAACCCAGGACCTAGTGCATGCCAAGCATGTCCCCTGCCTCTGAGGTATGCCCTAGCCCTTGTGTAAAATATTTCAGTAAATACTATAAATAAAAAAAAACCAACTTTTTTCATATAATGAAAACTATTAAAAGTTTGGTCTAATTCACTCATGGTCTCAAGTTTTCAAAAAATAATGAGCGTACAATGGAATAACCTGTTAACAGTCACAGTTTACTAAACTGCACTTGGTGGTTTAAAACAACTGCACTTGAATAATGCACTTTGTTTGGTCATAAACCTGGAGTTGAACTTTGCCTTGAAGTTGCATACATTCAAATCGGCCCATTTCCTCAACATGATAGATATACCTTCCACTATCTGGAGTCAGCCAACATTAAGGGACAGCTCAGATCTGGGCAGTCCTTACTTTGATTCTTCTGAAGGTGTTGCAGGAAAGAAGCCCAGGGCAGAGAACAGGCACAGTTTTATATCCCTTTTTGTTCTCCTTAAATACCAAGTCAAGGGACATGCAGACAGCAGGTGTTGCCAAAGGAGAGATTCTTCAGTCGTCTGAAGAGCCTGGCCCCCAGGTGTGCTTCTATGGGATGGACCCCTGGCCAGGGACAGGTGGACCACTATGTTAGCACAGTACATGCTCAGGGATCTCTCTTGTTAGGATCTGCCTGAAGACAGGCATCGCAGGCCCTTCTGATTTCCAGTCATGTTTATTTGGGAGAGACATAAATAGACGAATTTTCAATTTATTTATAGAGGCACATGGAAATCACATATTGGTTTTGATTTTTAAATTGTTTTTTTTAGTTGTGATTGGACGCAATACCTTTATTTATTTTTATGTGAAGCTGAGGATCGAACCCAGAGCCTTGCATGTACTAGGCGAGTGCTCTATTGCGGAGCCACAACCCCAGCCCCTTGTTTTTGATTTTATGCTTGATCTTAGACAATTTAAAGTTATGGTTTTAAATGCTCTTTTAAAATGATCCCACTGGAGAACAGTAAGGAGGAGGAGGGGAGAACCCCAGACTGCAGGGATTACAGGCTCACCCATGGAAACGCAGCTGGGGCGAAGGTCTCAAAGTTTAAATCTATTTGCCTCTGTGTCTGCCATTATAGCTCTTCTTTTTAAGGTTTACAGGGAGGGAACAAGAGGTTCTCTGAGATATTTAGTATTTTAACTACAAGGATTTTCTCTGATCTTCTGGAACATCAGCTTTTGCTGCATGGTCTAGGATGACTGCTCAGATTGTAAGCCGTGTTCGCTAAAGGACATTGTGTGGGTTGTCGGGAGTTAAGGGGTGCATTTTTTTATAAGCCTTTGGATTTGTTTCCCTAAGCTGTGAACAAACTTAAAGAACCTGTGATGCGTAACCACCTGCTGGAAATGAAATCTCCAGACCAATGTTAATTAACCTTCCATTGTATGCCGGACCCATTCACATCTCCTCCTGTAGAAAGATCTAAGTTGCTTCTGACAGCTCTGGGCCAAGTGCGGCTTGAAGCTTGATTCTCTGGCAGACATCCACAGTGAAAGGTAAGCAGGTGGGTTTTTGCACGAAGAGGCCTCTGGCAGGGATTTCAGAGTCGGGGGTTCTTATTCCTCTCGGGTATAGACACAGCCGTACCATGGCAGGCGCCCAGGGCAGGCCTGTCCTGGGGACAATGGGTCCTGATTCATTCATCCCCATCTGTTCTCCTGGGAAGGAAATCTTTCCTTAGTGGCACCAGGTATGGCAGGGAGCAGGAATCTTTCCCAGATTCCCCCATAACCTCTCCCGTCTCTGCCGTGTTACCCCAAGAAAGTGAAAATGAGGACATGGGATGTGGTTTTCTGCTGACATTGCAGATTTAAAATTCTAAAAGAGAGACTCATTGATTCACAGAGCATTTAGTACCCATCACACATATACCAGGCAGGCTTTGATTGGCTCAGAGGCAAAAATGAGAGGAGGGTGGGGGGTCCTGGGGAGTCCACAGGATCTTTTCTGGTCTGTACTTTTCTGGTCTATACCTTTCACTCCAGGTGGGCAAGCCTGTGTTTTACCTGAGTTTTAGTAAATTATATAATATTCCTAAGAAGCATCACTTAATCTTCCAAAGGATGGGGAGGTAGGGCGGTGTGCGGAACTGATGCTAATGTAAAAATGGAA